AACACTTGGAATTATCGCTCCCCCGTCGTGCAGCAATGTAGTTGGAGGGTTTCATGCACAAGCTACGATCTTTTAGATGCGGAACGCCTGTACTTGCATATTTTGGCGTTGGATGGAGCGACCTGCAAAGATACGTGGCAGCACAGATAGAGTGGGAAGTGAGAGGGAAATGGGAAATGGGAAATGGGACGGAGAAAGGCTGATATCTTGGTAAGAAGCTAGAGAGTTCCCGTTCAATACGATGTACACGACAGACTGGTAGAATAATTTTGGTCTGACATTTTGATATTGTGATATTGGTGCGTAGATGAAGGATATGTATGATATGTAGGATGGATTGATTAATATGTGAACGTATGGATATATGAATGGATCACGGTGGATGAATGTATTACTTCTACTATGTAACATCATTATTATTCTTGTTATGTATGTAGTGGGGTCACCTCGGCTATAAAGGGTTGATGTGATAATAACAATATCTACATTGAAGAGGAATAACTAGTACTGTATATCCTCACGTTTATTCATACGATTCCGAGAACGCATCTACAGTAAATAATGAAACCTGATATCGTTCTCTTCTGCGAGCCCTCTACCTTATATCATCTATCACAAATTTATATGAATAGCCATCTCGCCATCTAGCTTCCGATACAGCAAAAGAGCAGAACCTAGATACTGCACTCATGGGTTCACCTGCAAGGAACTGAATCTCCAAAAAAAGAACCTTCTACAAGATGACAAGCAACAAACTACAAGCTACAAGCTATCCTCTACATGAACAAATCGCCATCCAAATTCCAGACCAATAACAACCAACAGATCTAGGAGCGTCAAGGTACCAGGTAGCCATAAATAGTACAGAGGAAGCTTGCTCTTTCACCAGTTGGATATCAATCGTTGGGATGGAAATTCTCCGACTGGCTTCATCACCTTATGCATATGCAAGTTAGATATATGAGTTTAGCTAAATAGAAGATGAGGCTAAAGTCTCCCCTTCACCGCTCTTACTGGATAGCATTACGCATTACGCATTTACATTTATCACGATTTGCAATGTACCTAGTATATCCATCCCTCTCTCTAAATCTAGGTACCTCGAAAACAACATCAATTGTCCAATGGAAAATCATCATAAAATTCACAAATAGTTGTGAATAAATAAGTAGGGATCTATCTTTCATACGATATCCAAGTATCCAAGTGTCCAAGTATTCCATCTTTTGTACAGCATTCATCATTTTATCATTTCACTATTCACTCTGTGGTGCCAGCACATTCATTTCCTCAGCACCAACACACAATTCACAATTCCATCCATGAAATATGCAGCCACCCTTCTCACCAACCAGGAAAAAAATCTCATTCTATTCCTCATCGTTCAATCACTCAAAAAGGAAAGAAGCGGTGTAGATCCACTCTTCAGAGAGGAAATTACGCGAGTTTCAGGTTTGTGCAAGGTTCCGAATGAGGTTCTAGATGATGCTTGCTGCTTTCTTTCAGACTGCTTTTGGTAGATGGGTTTTGGGGTCAAGGAAACTTGCATGAAATTACTTCGCTACTCCTATTTTTTTTTGGACTCCTTTTTCTTGGATGAGGAGAAAGAATCGACTTGCTTATCGTACCTTTTTCATATGTATGCGAAGCTTATGTACTTCAATAAGGCTAGCCATACTCTCCAGTAACGAAAGCTTGTTAGTCCGTTTGCTTTATCTGCTTTCTGCAGCAATCTTCTTCGGATCTACCCAAGAGAACCCAAGCCAAACAAAACATCCAGGCCAAATAATCAGATTGACGTATTCCTTTTCTTCAGCGGCAAGTAGCCGTGCCTTCATCCTCGAATAGCATGCACCCTCCAGTGAGCGGCTCAGCAGCCCCCAATCTTTCTACAAAAAAGTCCATTCATCCAATCTTTCTCCTTCCTGTCTTTGAGATACATATGTTTGTGCAACCCGCCGATCAGATATACTTCCGGCCCAAAACATACTTGCATACATCTCTACAAATACGCAGACATAACTGCAAGTAGCAAATTTTTCTTCAGGCAAAAGCACGACAATGAGAGGTCTTGAAACAGCATGTAAGGTTTCCTCATATGAAATGATATCTCAGTTTTGGATTATATGAAGGAATACGCTGCATATGATATGATATGACATGATGGACAAAGCTTGAAAGATATCAAGTAACCTTGGAATCATATTTAATCACGAGGGTATGCTTCAAACGAAAATTGTATGGAAGCGCAAGCTGGCTTGTATACAATCAGATGAGCATACCAGAAACTCTGGATATACTACCACTGCTGCTGTTATACTAGGGAAAATCATCCACTTATATGCACGTATTCCCTACCAGATCCTCACGATATCTCAAATTCGAGCAGAAGTCGAATTGTAAAATTAAGATAACCTCCTTCTTCTTACTTTATCAACCCATCTATCACATCCTCAAACCATCTCTCAATTAAAAATGTGCTACTAGTAAGTCTTTCCCTCCTCTTCTCTCCTCTCCCCTTCACTTCACTTCCCCCCAAAACAAACTAACTCCCCCCCCTCCCCCTAGCTACACATACCAATACACCTGTCCCCACACCCTCCAAGTGCTCGCCAAACTCTGTCCCCTTGCCGTCTACACCCAAACCGCCTGCGTGGGAATCACTATCTGGCATGTGATATGGGTACGAGGAAATTGTCGGGAGTGTTTTGTAAAATTTGGTTTGTTGGGTCGAGGTGAGGTGAGGTGAGATGGAGTGGAGAAGTGGCGGAGAGGCGAGTATGAATATGAGTATGGGGGTGGTGATGAGAGTAGGAGTGGAAGGGTGAGGAGTGAGAGGTGAGGTCATTGGGGGAAAAACAGGAATGTGGATTAGGAAAGATGTGGATTAGAAAGAAGAAAAGGAGAAAATGTCAAAGTATTTATAATTGAAATTGAGATTGTAGCTAGGACGGATTATACGATTTGCATTACAGTAATCGAATCGAATCGAATCCAATCTCCATTCAATGAAAAGGGTACATCCCCTCCCCTCCCCTTCCATCTCATCCCCTCCCCTCAACCCAAACCCAACATTTCATTCCATTCCATTCCATTCCACAATATCAATATCAACATCAACATCAACATCAACATCAAAAGTAAAATAAAACAAAACAAAACAACAAAACTACCGAGCAATCAATACCTACATCTCACACGCCCAAATCAAGCCACGATGAAAGCTGAGAAGTCAGTACAAATAAAATCAATACCTGTACCCAAAAATTCGCACACCCACATATACTTGAAAGTTTTTTTTTCTTTCTTTCTTTTTTTCATCTGATTGTTAGTGTATTTATATGTTGTTTTTCGCATTTCATTGATATCTTGAGTCTTGAGTCTATGTATAAATTTTTTATTCAGAGAATCGTATTTATCTATCTATTTACCCAGTACCAACCTACTCAATACCTCAACCAGCTCACCCACCTACCCACTCCGGATCCCGCATCCTCAAATCATTGTAAAGGTAAAATTAATCCAATATCCCATAATATATCATAAAATAACATCACATCACATAACATAACAGTAAACAGTATCCCTGTGGTGGCAGAATCCGTGGTTGACGAAGTGATCCTTTCGTAATTGCCATAAATTCTACAATACCTTCATTATGTATTGAATAAATCGTTTTTAAAGTATTAATATAATCAATTTAAATCTCCATACCTTATAAAGCTTATTCTAATTAATAAATTCTTAATGAATTTCTTGAATTCTAAAAGATTAATTGAAAGTTTCGGCCTAAGGTAATAATTATTTGTCAAATAGAAAGCTTTTAGGTTTTATTTGCTTTTCAACCCCCCCTCCCCTTTCTTCCTCTTTTTTTCCTTTTAAATTAATCTCCTGTTAGATTTCAATAAAAGAATAGAAAAGTTCTTTTAGATATTTTAATTAGAATCTATTAAGGATTATTAATCTTTTTATTATACTTTTATTTATTAAATTCAAATTTATTCATATATAGATTGAAATTAGATTATATTTTTGTTTATATGATACATTCTGTATTACATAGCATAATGGTATAGCTTATAATTTCACTTAAAAGCTCTCTTGTAGATTTCCCTTATATAATATAATTTACCGAAAGGACTCTACTCCCCTTTAAACTTTTGGCTAATGCCTTCCGCTTACCCCTTAACTCCTACACTCATTCCTTTTCTCCCCTTTAGCTTTTATTTATCTCTTTAACCTTCTATGCATATACCTTTCCGTCCATTTTCCTCTTAACTCTAATATTCAAAAATCTTAAAAGCTCTAAGACCTTTTAAGGTCCTTATTTTCTTTTTTTTAATCAAAATTCAATAATAAACGGGTTGTAAAAAGAATTGATTTGATTTGTTAGTAACGAAGAGCTCTATTCGTTATTAATGAATATATATATTAATATTGTAATGTATGAAATAGAAATTTGTATGGGGATTTATATTGAATTTATCTTCGTCCGGAATATTAACTTTGCCACCACAGGGGTAAACAGTAAACAGTAAACAGTAAACATTCATCACCACCACAGAACCAGTAATGTATCATACAGTTTCCTTCTCACATACCAAGTAATATGTAAGTAATAGGTATGTAAAGAAAGATTGAGAACTGGTGGTGGTGGTGATGTCTGGGTATTAATACCTATCATTCTTTGATTTTAAATATGTAACGCTAGATAGTAGATACTAATACTAATTCTCCAATATTGTAAAACATTTCCAGTCTAATATACATACGCATATATACATATACATATACATGCCACAATCTATAGTATGCAAACGCCATGATGCCGACGACGCCATCACACAAAACAAGCCTGAGAGATTGTTTGTGTGTCGATAATTCAAACGAGCATGCTGTCCCTTTTCTCCACCTGGGAAAACCCCCCAAATAATCCCCCTGCATTAAAGTAGCAGTGAAACCCCATGTCCTCATTCTATTTCTGCAATAAATTTACCACATCACCCCGACCTAACATTATTCTCAGAAGTCATGAACGCCATCCAATCAGCTATTCCATCCGACGCCGAACTTCCCCCTGGTCTAAAATCCGCCATCGAAGTGAGAAGTTGGCCACAAAGCCCTTGAATCGACGGTGTGATGTGTGTAAATGAGATATTCACACCATTAATCATTGACTGTTCGGAACCTGGAACTCCAGAAACTATTCGCATGTGCCACTTCTTTATTTCCTGACATAGAAGTTTCATGTTCCAGACACTATTTGGTTGAGCTTGGCCATTGTTGTACACGAGGAGGCTTTCGAGTTTCTCGTCCAGGGAATCAAGGTAGTAGCGGAGGCTTGCAGCTTGGCGGACCTGGTCAGTGTCGAGGGACGGGGAATCGCAGTTTTCGGTGAATTTCCCAAGGATGAGGACGGCGTAGAATAATTCTATGTAGTTCGGCGCGGTAAGACGACAGAACTCCAAGGATGTGAGAGATAACACCATATCGAGATAATCCTTAGCGGCCTGTAGACAACGGATCAACATTTCTGTTCGTGAGGAAGAATGATACCAGGAGGTTCGATTTGATGACGCAGTTGTCATAAATTGATGTGAGTCCGATGAAATGGCATTAAGACTGATTTCCGCAACATAGATACGGAGATGTGCATACGATACTCTCAGTATGTCTATGTATGTCAATACAATTCAAATCCGCAACATAAGAGAGGCTACTCACGATTGCTCCAAGCTTCGGCAGGAAAGTATCTTTGGATATCCTGGAATTGTTGAGACAAAGTTCTATTGAACATCTCAATTCGTACGGTATCATGCTCAGAAAGCTCTCCATGATTGGAATAATCAAAGGCGTCATTGACCTCTTCGCCAAGTCGATGAATTCTTGTGAAAAATGGCAACAGTCGATCTGTCTCTGTTACGCTGACCTCCGATAATACTTGGCAACATTGTTCTATATAGTCGTGATACTTGAGACTATTGGGTTTCCTCAGACTGCGGCACATTCTATAATAATATTAATTACCGTCCAGTCCACGTGAAGACTGTAGACTTACGATGATGTCAGGCAAAAACATCCAATAAGAGTCCTTCTTTCCTCTATCTGAATTGGGGTGAATTTCTTTGGGCATTCAAAGCCAAGAGTGTTCGAATAGCTCGTTTGTACTTCACCAAGCTTTGGCCTGTGAAGTCCAAGATCAATCACCATAGCATTTGCCATTTGGGTAAGCTGAAATAGATTCTCTTTCTCTGGATTATAGTGATAGTGATACCTAGACTGGTTAGACCAAACCGCTTTTGTAACTGTGTAAAAAGGTATTATATCTTACCAAGCGAGGTACAATAGTATTCCTTGTAGCAAGTCAATACTCTTCTCTCCGTGCATGATTGTGCGGCTACTGATTGTCTCACGTAGCTCACTTTCAAGAAGATGTTGCACGGGGATATTGTTTTGACTTGTACTTGCAAGAATTCCAAGCAAAAGAATGGGCCGTTCATGCCTCAAGCTTTCTAGAGAGGCTTGCGGAGGGATGAGCACAAACGGAAAGGCTGAAGCTCTACTAGCGAACTCCTTCAGTGCCTCATCAGCCTGTTTGGTACTGACTATGCACCTCGAAATGACATCATTCAAGCCACCGTAATTAAGATTTGGAGGTGTAGACAAAGACATCTGTTGGAATGGTTTGCTACTCGTGTTGTCCATTGGTAGTAACGGAAAAGAAAGCTCGATCTCTGATAGATCCAACGGCATATTTTCTTGGGGAGATTCAGGTGTTGAGGTTGAATTAGGCTGAAACTCTGCTTGAGATTTGGCTGCCAAAAGATTCAAGATTCCATCAAGCTTTTGCTCCATCTCTGCAACTCGCCTGATCACTGGTCAGCGTTGGAGTTTCCAATGAACAGAATAAAAACTTGCACTCTAGAAGATCTCATCTTCTTAGGTCGAGGTTTCGTTTCCAAGAACACACATTTCTTCTTACTTTTTGAGCATCTACAGACATGTTAATAAATTTCAGATTCCCGTGATTTACAAGTGACTGACTTGGCGCATCGAGTAGGATCATCTATACTTGGTAAACATCTGCCTTTGGATGTCCTGCATGCTTCACATGAGCGCCTCAATTTAGTGGGAATTGGTGTGTCGCTATCAACACTAGCGGAGGGCTCGGAATCCGGAAGGTTCATATTGGTCTTCAACTAAATATGAGATTGAATGGATGAATGGTAGAAAGCTTCGTGAGCAGCGGAATGTCTGCTCATGCCGTTTTCAATGAGATTGATGCTGAATTTGAGAAGAAAGCCATCTCAGGGTGAACAAGCATCTTTGACCGTTCGAGGTTGAAGAATGTCGGAATGAGATAAAGATCCGTGATTCCGGACACTAGCTGTATGAGGAAAAGCTGGGATCGATATGTCAGCGATTGCCGGGAAACATCCCCTCGACAGGTTTTAAGTTGTATCAAAAGATTTCTCATCATTCTAGAATTGAAGACCATTAATTCTTGGCCAAGTGACGTATATTTCGAGGTATTGCTTAAACAAATCATAGGAAAACAATAGAGTAGTGTATTTCTATTCTACCTCATCTTGCTCTTGCTCTTGCTCTTGCTCTTGCTCTTGCTCTTGCTCAGTTTGCTCTAATCCACGAACGCCTAAAATCCAACGACCTGAGGGTATTAACTTCGCATAAATTCATAGATCCAGATATATAGCATGCTTTTTGACGCGTAAAAAATCAGTTCAACTTCCCATCATCTGCAACATCTGCACTATCCGTACCCATATTTCTCGCTGCAGTCGTCGATTGATCTAATTGCATGTCATTCATTGCTGCCATTCTTTCGTCGACAGTCAATTCACTCTCTGCTCTCTTGATTTTGACAAAAAGTGCCATTATTATCAATGAAACACCTGCACAAGCAACTTCGAACCAAAATACTGCGTGGTAACTTTGTCTCAGGCCCAGACGATCTAAAGTGTAAGTGTTGATGATATCTGAAAATCCAAGACAAACCGCAATACCCAAATGTAGAATGAGCATCACCATGGAGCCAGCAAGACCTTGCTGTGATTCTGATAGGGAAGTAGTGAAGAATATGTTAGCCACTGTGAATGTTATGTCGATACCAATTGTTGCACATATCATTGCTGGGAATATGTACGCCCACTGTATAATTTGTCAGCATCTGATTAAGAAATATCTGAAGAAAGCTTACATAATTGGCGCCAGCTGGAGCAATGGCAAATAGCAAAGGTGCAACGATCCAGGCTACTCCAGCTGTGACAATAAGGGCTGTTCCTGGCAGTAGGTGGAGAACAAAGCCACCAAGTGTAGAAATTATGCAGCCGCCTAAAGCCATTGGTGCATACCACGCAACAAGCTGTAACGGGGTACCACCCATGACGCCAGTCATGTAGAATGTGGCATAAAGCAAGAATATTCCCAGAGAACCGTAGCACAAGAAAAGTGCAAAGACAAGCGGTACCATGGAGGGGACTTTGAAGAAAGAGCTCGGAATCAAAGCTTGCTTAGTGTGGATCTCGATGTATGCAGCGGCAAAAAGCAACAAGCTCCCGACAATGAATAAAACGTAGATATAGGGCGTCTTCCAGCCATTCGGTGCATGGGCCGAATCGATGATGGCGAAAGTAAAGAGAATCAGTCCCACGACAATGAAAACAGCACCCCACCAATCCATTCTCACTTGATCATCCGTGCCCTGGCGTGCCTCGCGAACTTTCCGCTTTTTGGCAATGTCAGAAGGAATGGTCATGTAAGACGTGATAGCTGTGATGACTGCAAAAACGCAGCCAATCCAGAACCACCAGCCCCATTTTGTGTACTCAGCTACCAATCCAGCGAAGAAAATTCCCACAAAAAACCCCAGCGGCGCACATGCTCCATAAATTGCGAAGACCAAGTTCTTCCGTGGGCCTGGTCGATATATGATGCCGATAAGAGCTACACTTGAAGGTAGATACATCGCTGGACCCAGGCCTTGCAATGCCCGACAGAAATTGAGCATTATAAGATCAGTTGAAAATCCACCTACCAGGCTCCACAAAGCGAGCCAAATGAAACCTGCTACATATGCTGGAAACGATCCATACATATCTGATAAGCGGCCGAACACCAGAAGAAAGCAAGCAAGAGTGAGCGAAAAAGCACTGGCAGGCCATGTCGCCGAGGCCGATGGTATTCCTAGACTATCGACCAGAGTGGGCAATATGACTGTGAAGCCAGAAACAAAGTATTCCTTTTTCACTGTCAGAGTCTGTGAATTGGATCAAGAATGGGAAAGATTGATAGAACTCACGGTGAGCACCTGTGACATTGAAATTGAAAATACAAATCCAATCTCCGCCCATAGTGACTTGAAGACCTCTGGCCTTTGTCTACCTAGCCTTTCGATCCTTACCTCCGGAGCTTCTTCTAACGAATCCCCCAAAGGCGAAAAAGAGTGGGGGTTGTCATTGCTGTTTTGACTGATGTGCCCGGAGGTTTGACGTTCACCTTCCAATGGGATTTCAAGATCCCCAACAGAGCCACCGTTTCTTTGATCCATTGTCATGTTATCGATATTCAAATTTTTCTATGTGAGGCTTGTTTCTCACATAAACTGATGAGCACCTTCACTAAGCTTCTCCTGTTTCTTCGCCACCAGTGTGATAGTGGTCAAAGCACAACAACGGATCCGTAATTGGGTTTGCGAAATTCTGTTACATGTATAGAAGAGAGGGAAGATATATTTTTCTTCTCGATATCCATTTATTGACGTAGGTAACTAAACTGAAAATTCAAAAGATCGTGGGTATATGGGATGATAACTTGTCGTCAGGCTCCTCGAAAAATAACAACGTGCGGGATCCTGGATGTTAAGAATAATATGCCGTATTAAAAGGAAGGAAATCAAGTATGGTGTGCTTGTACAAGAGGCGTGCGTCGTCAAGATAAAGGGCGTCACATCAAACCCCTACACCGGAAATATGTATGTGTATATGTAGTTTTTACTAATAAGTCGATCGGCCCAAAAGCCATTAGTAACCCAAGTTCACCGATTCACTGGACCGTGAGAGATGGCAAAAAAAAGGAAATGGGTCTAAGCGATCATATCACCCAATCCATGCAGTATCTTATGCCTGAAATGAGTAATTGATATGGCGGATTCGATGACGCTAGACAATTGATCGTAAAAAAAACTAAAATCCCCAGAACTTCTAGATTGAAAAGTAGTAAAAGTAAATGGTAATATATAGCCAAGACAAATTTGATAATAAGGATTGAGGAGCCCGGGTGTTGTGTACCGATTATTTGTCGTGGAACCAAAAGAGGGGGGGTTTTAAGTACGATTTGGGTCTATTAAATGGATATCCATATGGTATTTGCTTACTCCGTACGGAGTAACCCAGCGCCGGAGTTGCATCCTTTCTGGCCGCACGAGTAGAAGAATTTCTGGGTGCCTTTGTACTCGGGTGTACATACCCAATTTCACCTAAAGGCCAAATCCACGAGTCAAACCAATGTGAGAGCGACTGAGCATACTCTGTTACCACAAGGCACAAAGAAGCTGTGGGAAGGTGTGAACCATGCTCGTTTGTTGGCTTTGTGATGGCCTCATCGAAACTCTATAAAGAGCTATGGATGGAATAGAGAGAATCGGACCAAATACTGAGATGAATTGCACAATGAAAGAACGGATAAGAGCATACTATGTCAACGCAGGTGTCCATTGACAGATGGAGCATCACCGTTGAACATTATCGTGATGCAGAAACGAAAAGTAGAGGATAAATAGGATGAAAGAGCTGGGAAAGCTTGCGTAACATTTTGGAAGAATTGATGCAGCTCGGCATACTTTTGGTATTGACATAGAGGAGTTTGTTTGGGGTTGGAGTTCCAGACAATTGAGGTTGATTGACACTACTACCTAGTAGGTACTTAGTAGGCAGATATATTTGACAAGCAGTTATCTGAGTTTTCAATATATGGAGAAACCTCTCACTCGGGACTCGGAAGTGGATGATGATGTGAATGCTTGCCCGTGTATGAGGCTGATCTTTACTTTTTGCTGGTGGTTCGGGGAAAATGTGTTTGAGGACCAAAAATGATATCTTGGAGTTACACAGTTCGGCGCACACAAAACGTGATAGCAGAGTCACAAAAATTAAATGGATCACGTGCACGATTCACTGAGCAAATAGGGCAAAATGCACCCTAAAGCGCGCTAAAAAAGCTAACGAATTTTTTTTCAATATAAATATCTCGCTCACCTCCCGGAGACTCTCTTCTTTTCTTCTTCATCATCAGTAGAGGTTATAATTAATACTTATAACATTTACATGGGGGCTTCGCTACGGCGACTTGCTGAGGGTTATCCTTTACTTCTTCGAAGTAAAAGTTGGGTTTTCTTCCGTTCCCGGCCCCCTTGAATGAAGGTGAACACTCTTCCTTATCAGCCGTCTTCGACGATTCTATCGGATTTTGACTGTGGGGTGGTCTCTACATACCTTACTTTATGCAATTTCTTTTTTATGAAAAGAAAGCGCGCATCGAGTAACGATCTTGCAAAATGGATTTTTATGATGAATCTATTTGCGCTGTGCCCTTGTATTATGGCCAGTATATACATACACACGTAGCTTTGTAGCTAGCTGTCGTGTATACTTGGTAAGTAGTGAATGTGATTGATAGCTAGTAAAATTTCCGTAGCATAAAATATTTTGTGCAACAGTGATGAATATTCGAAGTTCTGTACTCTGAGCATCTCTGCTGTGCTTGCTGTGTCCTTATTGAGGTCTTCGTCCTTGGTTTCCTGATAGCAACGAGTTATCATGCTGCCGAACATACAAGCTTAAGAACATGCTGTACTCGCTCATGAATAGGTAACCATTGCATGTTCTCCATACATTAGAGCCAAGCAACTGGAATTTCAGATTCAGCAAAACGTTTGCTATGCATTACGTATGCTTTTCCAAGGATCTCTTTCTTGCAATGGCACTTGTTTAATTTATTACAGCTGCGGTCGCAAGTTGTACATTGAATCTCGAAAATGAGCTCTGGAAATGTGGTAGTCAGATTTGGATAAAAGCAATTCAGTAAGTGTGCGCGGATGTGTGCGACGGAATATAATAGAAGCCGCATGTAGTCGAACATCAACATGCTCACGATTACAATCATAATAAAT